ATTAATACAACAATGATAAAAAATCATAACAATACATATACAAATAAAAAAAGCCGAAATTATATCGAAAAGTGGCACATCTTTAGAGGCTGGAAGCACGGGTGTAAGGTTTGTGACGAATGCGATCATCATTCGCACCTATATTGTAAGACCTGTAAAAAAGTAGCGAATGGCATATATAGGCGGTGTGAATGTGAAAATTCTCGAATAATTAACATTAAATAAAAATAAATCAGAATCGATACGTACATAATTTTCCATAATTCGCCACGTAACAAAGATATTCATTTAACATGTGAAATTTATCTGTATCACCTTACAAGGCTTATTGTTATGCATAACTAATTTGTGAGATGGGTCACAATCTCAAAGTGCCATTTTTCATTTTTCGACCGGGGCGCCCCGGCTGAAATTAGTACACTAACCAAAAGTCGGTCAATTAACTCATGCCACATATGTTCTGAATTTATTTTGTGGGGAGCCAAATCCGGACCGAAACCTTATCTGGCTTAAATGCGCACAATGTATGCATGTACTACGGAGTATCAAGTCCCTTTAACCTTACATGGCTCTGTAACTCGTGATGCATACATTTACAAAATTTATAGAATTCTTTTGCGAAATTTCTCTGCGTGGAAATACATGTTTCAGTGAAGAGATGAAAGAAAAAAAATATAAAGGGCAGTATCTCGAATTTTATTGTTATTTGTCGCTTATTAGTGATTTTTTACTGTGATTTCCTTAATTTTAACAAATTTCCTTAATCTTAGCAAATATAATTATTTTTCATAAAATGTCTACTAAATTGCAAAATAAGATTTACAAATTCCTGACAACTGCCGAAGAATGTCAGATAAATGCTACATCAGTTATTTATCTTGGACTGAAAAAAGACCGTTGGATTCCGCAAAATGAATTAAGATCAATTATAGACCGAGTTGTAATTTCCGCCAGCAATGTAATCATGGAAGGTTCTCCTCGTCACTCAAGGATTTTACAAATTTCTTCGCAGGTTAGTTAAAGTTTTATACAGATATTTTCGGATTTTTTTATATGATGATATTGTGTGATCTATTTGCAGAACAGTGCTGAATAAACAGGCTACATTATTTTAGCTTGTTGTTTATATTTTTCTTGCCCATTAAATCGGCCCCCAATAATACTTGCATATAATAGAGGAGTGTATATGCTATAGACTGTTATGCAGTATTGTAGTTCACTCTACTAACCTATTATATGAAAAGGTTATTGCACGGTCGGGGTGAGTTAAAGTATAAATCATTATGTAGATAATTAGTATCACACAAAGTTTCATCCGCGTGATGGCCACACAAAGATGTTAACTTTGCATATGCACTGATAATATATGTTAGTTTTAATGATGAAAATTTTTAGATTTCTGAAATCTAACATCAACATCTTTTTAGTTTGATAGTGCTTTCGAAGGTGTGTGTTCCTTATTTGCTATGGGTGCGATCAAATTAGATAAGGAAAAACCACTTAGTTCAGATCAAATTGAAGAAAATATTGATAAGTTGAAAAGGAAACTCGGAAAAGATACATCTGTTCTTTATCAACATTTATACTCGAGTGTAGAGAAGACTCCCATTGAAGGATTAAATTGGAAAAATCCTTTGGCTAATCAAATTATTAGGGATAATGCCGAATTTATACAAAATTTAAGTGGAAACAAAAAAAGTTTAAAAAAAGCATTTATGGTATATATTTACTAATATTTATTGAGCAAAACAATTACTTTAAATTATTTCTAATATTTCTAGCTATGGTCTTTATTTTAGAAACCGGTTAGACAAATGAAGCCTACACTTCCGTCAAGAATTAAAGATATGTGTAACGAATTTGTATCAAGTTTTTCTAGCCATGATGATTCTAACGGACCTCCAGAAAAGTTAACTCATGATGGAACATGGAAAGAGTATGAAGAGGAACTTTCATGTGTCGTAAATGAAATTTTTAGTACCATTAAAGATGTTTGGAATAATCCAGCTCTTAACTCTGACGTGGCAGGGACATTAAATGAGGGAACTTATCAATCTACTGTTATTGTACCATTTATTCGAGCTGTATTAAAAAATCTTCCCTTTGGATCATCTTCATTTATTAGCACGTCAGAAAGAGAAAGTATTGCTAGCGCGGATAGAAAAGATGGTCAAATGGGAAGACGTCCAGATATCATGTTCATAGTGAATCATTTAGATATGCTCTTTGAAATTATGTATGTTGAATGTTCGAGACTGGTTTGTATACAGAAAAAAAAGGACGATGATGATATTAAGTTATGGAGAGAATGTAATGACGGTATGTATTATACACGAAAAACTCTAAGTCCAGAGAAAGAGCAATTTGGAATTGTTGGGATACAAATAGCAGAAGATACTCTACATCTGAATGTTCTTATCAGGGATAAAATGAATGTTCATAGATATTATAATATCGAATCAGCAAAAATCCCTGTGCAAGAATCAGATGAGAACACTGTAACTAAATTTGTAGAAACCCTTCTACTCTTACGGAATATACTAATTACAAATTTGTCTTTACTATATCATGGGTCGGTGTGTATGTCTGAAAGACAAAAAGAAAATAGTTCAACTGTAGATTCTGAATAATATTTATCCTATCCTGTATTTTGTTATTTTTTATATCAATAAAGCTGACCTGGTGGCTGGTTTCGGTGCATACATAGTCAGTTTACTTTTGCATGTGTATTTCGTGAATTTATTACATTGTACGTGTGTCGATGTCCGCATATATGATTGTGAATTTTTCTTGGTAAAAGTGGTCGGCGTTCCGAAACAGAACGCGCACATAATTTTTATTAATTCGAAATTTTGAATAAATATGTATCTTATTTAAAAATTATTATCGAACATGCCATCAGAGCTTGAATTATTAAGACAGCGAGTTGCCAAACTTGAGGCAGAAAATACCAAACTAAAACAAATTATAGAAGAAATTGCTAATCTTAGGATCGAAAATACCAAACTAAAACAAATTATAAAGCAAAATCGAACTACTAATGTTGCTTCGTCAGTAACTCCACAGATGCCTATTCCATCATCTATTAATGGTCACTCTGATAAAGATGATATCACCAACTCTGTAAATCTAAAACAGGCACAAAGTGATACCCCCGAGAAAATTATTTCTCCCGAACAGATAGAGAACACATCTGATAACGCGTCTAATTCTGATATATATCAACCCATAATCATAGAGATTAAATCGTTGGAAGATAAGGAAGTCGATGAATTTCTGGATTCAACGTATAAGGATAAGGTTAGTAAAGAGATAAGAGAGAGAAATAGAGAAGCAAAGCTCTTTATCTCCAATAATGTACCGACAAACCCAGATCAATCGCACAAGAAGAAAACAACGCAAGATATTGTACAAGATGTATTTGATTTTACCACCACTTCACCTAAAAATCATGCGATAGAAATTTCGCTTCCGGCCCGGAAGGAAAAATGCCAAGAAATATCTGATGTATTACAGACCATAGCTCGCTTATATGAAAAAGCATGCCATGCGGAAAACGAAACACTAAAAGCAAATCAAGCTGAAATTTTATGTTTGTATAACTATTTTAAGGAATTCTATTATCAGGTTAAAGAGATTATGAGAATGGACCAGATCAGTGAGAAAAAAGCAAAGGGAATAATTTATAATTTTATTATTAAGCAAATTCCTGGCACTAAACGAGAAAATTTATACAAAAAGACATATAGAGCTAGAAAGATTCATGAGTTATTCGAAAAGATAGGAGTGGATAAAATTAAGTACTGTATAACACTCCAGTCATCATTTTTTTTATAATTTTCTACGGCTTCTCTCGAAATAGGGTAGAGGGGGTCATTATCTG